TCTGGACTTTATAGACAGATCCACTCCAGACTTTATAGATGGATCCACTATGGGCTTCATAGATTGACCCACTTCAGACTTTTTAGACAGATCCACTCCAGACTTTAAAGGCCTACCCACTCCAGATACTATAGACAGATCCATTCTGGACTTTATAGATTGATCCACTCCAGAGTTTATAGATGGATCCACTATGGGCTTTATAGATTGATCCACTTCAGACTTTTTAGACGGATCCACTCCAGACTTTATAGACAGATCCATTCTGGACTTAATAGATTGATCCACTCCAGATTTTATAGACGGATCCACTCTGGACTTTATAGACAGATCCACTCCAACTTTATAGACAGATCGACTCTGGACTTTATAGACGGATCCACTCTGGACTTTATAGATGGATCCACTCTGGACTTTATAGACGGATCCACTCCGGACTTTATAGACAGATCCACTCTGGACCTTATAGACGGATCCACTCTGGACTTTATAGATGGATCCATTCTGGACTTTATAGACTGATCCACTCGACTTTATAGATTGCTCCAATCCAGATTTTATAGACTGATCCACTGCAGACTTTACTGACGGATCCACTCTGGACTTTCAGGGTGAGAGGCAGGGGACTGTAAGCTGGGTGTGTGATGAGGCTGGGGGCCTATAGCATGCTGGTGGACTGGCGGGTTGATGGGAAAGGAGAAGTTGGCAAAACTGGAATGCCTGTTGCCTTGTGATACACTGGATGCAGGCTGTCTAGGCAAGCTGGAGAGCACCACCCTCAGGTCTATAGAAATGGGTATCAGCTGGGCGAGGTGGCTCACGCCTGTAATCCCAGCACTGTGGGAGGCTGAGGTGGACAGATCATGAGTTCAAGAGATCGAGACCATCCTGGCCAACATGGTGAAACCCCAGCGCCATTAAAAAAACAAAATTAGCCAGGTATGGCACATGCCTGTAATCCCAGCTACTTGAGAGGCTGAGGCAGGAGAATCGCTTGAATTCGGGAGGTGGAGGTTGCAGTGAGCCGAGATCGCACCACTGCACTCCAGCCTGTGTGAGAGACCAAGAATCAGTTAAAAAAAAAAAAAAAATCCATAATAGATTTGAATTCCACCTGGCAGAACAGAGAAGGAATGATTATTCCACAATAGGAGAAGGTGTGATTCTCTGATTCATACCCTTTTATGAGGCTTACCTCTGAACCGGTTTGCTTATGTTCAGTTGGGATCTTAGGGTGTCTTTTAGTAAAAAAA